ACTACTACTACCTACCACCACTACTATTGCTACTACTACTACTACTACTACTACTACCACTACTACCACTACTACTGCTGCTCCTACTTCTACTACTGGTATACTGCTATACTGCTACGACGACCTCTACGACTACGTCAATTACGTCTACATCTACGTCTGCGACGACGTCGTAGACGACGACTACTACTGCGATTGCTACCGCTACTGCCTCTTTTATTAACGCTCCACTGTTGACCCACTCGCATCGCAATTCCCTGTATTATGAACCGACTGAGGTCTGGTTGCATTTTTGGAGCAGAACTGCCGGGAAGATCACGGTGTTTTCCAGCTGCGCGCTGCTTTTGACAATGTCACCAACGAGGATTTCGTGCAGGTGCGCGTGGCCTGCCCCGGCACGGCCACCTCAAAGGCTGTCGCGAACAGTAGCGCGAGCCAGCCTCTGCCGATCGTGATAGAGCAGTTTGAGCTTGCAGCCAGCGGCACGGTGACGACTCTGAAAGAGCTGATCTCCAAAAGGACGAAGTTTCCCATAGATCAGACAGTGCTGTTACTGGGCTGCAAGCGATTACATGACGAGCTTCCCATGGGCCGCGTCGCTGCCGCAGCAGAGACGTCTGGAACTCCTCTGCAGCTGCATTTGAGCGCCAAAGGAGCTTTGGCCTTTCTCAGGCGCGAGGGGCAAGGACACCGCGAGCAAAATGGCCCGCACACACTCAGCCTTACTTTGCCGGCATCTGTGAAGGGCAGCCATGAAAGGCCCATGCCCTTCGATCTCAAATCCACTCTGAGTGATCTGCGATGGTCTGTGCAAAGCATTTCCGGGATCTCGCCGGCGCGCATGAAGTTGGTTCTGGACGACGACAAAGACTTGTCCTTTGCATTGGAGTCCAGCACTTTAGAGGAGCTTGGCTTCGAGGATGGCTGCAGTGTGCATGTGCATGAACCCGATGCTCTGGCCGTCGCCGACTTCGACATGCCGTTGGATATCCCATCCATGGGTCCAGCGAGCCTGCTTTACGAGACGGCAGCGGAAAAGCTCGGGCTCGGGGTGGCAGAGCAAAGTAAGCTTGCAATCTTTGCTGGGAGTCAGATGGTCGAGCGCAGTGCTGATTTATCCCAGGCGCTCATTGCTGACGGAGTGATCCTCTGTGCTTACATGAACTGGCCCCTGCATTTGTCTGTGTCCGTCCTAGACTCGAGCCTCCCAGGAACCCTGGAGGGCTTTCCAGGCGCATCGCCACCGGTTGTGATCAGCGGTGGTTGGGTCGTGTAGATGGCTTTTCTGAGTGTCTGTGCAAGAAGATCTGAATCTAGCATTGTTTCAGGTTCTTTGGAAGTGCGAAGCTGCGATTCCATCGCGGACGTCCGCCGGAAGCTGGTGGCCCGCGCCGTGGAAGCAGAGGCGACGGCGCTCCTGGAGGGCAGCTTGGCCTTCGCGGTGGAGTGTTCCACATGGGAGCGAGAGGGTGCGGGGCCCGCGGGGTGCCGCAGTCTCGCATCGCTGGAGAGTCTGTTGGGAGGATTCGCACCTGTGCCGGAGACGGCGCGTCTCTCCAGGCTCGGAATGGCCGATGGTGGTTGCCACCTCGTGTTTGTACCCAAGAAGGTGATATCCGTGGAAGTTCTGGTCTGCCATGGCGAGGAAGAGAAGGGCACCAGACAACTCAGGGTGCCAAGCACCACTCGACTTTCAGAGCTTTCGAAGGTTCTGATAAGAAGTCTACGGCAAAGCAGCCTCCCTGACTTTGCCCCCAGCGAATTCGCCCACTGCTCCTGGACGCCCTCGTCGGATCCCAAGGGCTCTCGGGATGGCCAGCGGAGCGCCTCGCAGTCCTCCTTCGGCGGAGTGCCCTGGCCGAACTACGGCGAGACCAGATCACAGTCATAATCGTAATCACAGGAGTCATACTGCCGACAACGCCTCTCCTTTTTCACCTAAGTTTCCTCCAAAGAGAGAGAGAGAGAGAGAGAGAACTTAGCCAGCAGATGACAATGGGTGTCCCAAAGTCGCACTGTGCATTCAAAACGGGGGACTAAAGAAAACATCCTTCGTTTTTGTATGCAACAAACCTTTCACACCCCCTGAAAACCCCAT